AGCAGCATCATCAGCATCATCAGCATCACCAGCATGGTCATTTCAGAATCATCATTATCATCAGCACCCTCAGCTACAGCATCATCATCAGCATCAGCATCAGCATCATCATCAGAACAACCATCATCATTATACCATGATCAGCATCAGCATCAACATCAGCATCATCAGCATCTTCCTCATCATCAGCATCATAGTCACCATCATCATCATCTTCATCAGCATCATCATCAGCATAACCACCATTATCAGAAGCATCGTCATCAGAATCATCATCACCATCATCATCATAATCATTATCAGCACAATCATCATCACCATCATCATCACCATCATCACCAACATCATCATCATCACCATCATCACCACCATCATCATCATCAACAGCATCAGCATCACCATCATCATCAGCATCACAATCAGCAACATCATCATCACCAGCATCACAATCATCACCATCATCATCATCACCATCAGCGTCGGAATCAGCATCATCATCATCATCATCATCAACATCATCAGCAGCATCATGATCATCATCATCATCGGAATCATGAGCACCATAACCAGCATCATCAGTATCATCAGCATCCTCATCATCACCATCATCACCAGCAGCATCATCATCAACATCATCATCTGCAGCATCATTATCAGTAGCATCATCAGCATCATCAGCAGCACCAGTTCAGAATCATCCTTATCGTCAGCATCATCAGCTACAGCATTAGCATCATCATCATCATCATCAGCATCAGTACCATCATCAGAAACACCATCATTATTAGATCACCATCAGCACCATCGTCATCACTATTATATCACGATTAGCATCAGCATCAACATCATAGTCATCATCAGCAGGTTCATCATCATCAGCATCATAGTCATCATCATCATCATCATCATCATCACCATTATCATCATCATCATCATCATCATCTTCATCAGCATCATCGTCAGCATAACCACCATCATCATAAGCAGCATCATCATCAGCATCATCAGCATCGAAATCTGCATCATCTTCATCAGCATCTTCCTCGTCATCATCAGGAAACTAATCATCATTATAAGCATCATCACCATCATCATCACCATCATCATCACCAGCATCATCATCATCACCATCACCATCAGCATCACCATCATGATCACCAGCAGCATCTTCACCACCATCATCATCATCATCACCATGAGCACCATCATCATCATCACCATCATCATCTTCCTCAGCATAAGCATCATCATCACCATCGACGCCGGAATCGTTATCACCATCATCATCAGCACCATCATCAGCAGCATAATCGTCAGCATCATCATCATCATCGACATCATGAGCATCATAACCAGCATCATCATCACCAGCATCCTCATCATCACCATCATCACCAGCAGCATCATCAACATCATCATCTGCAGCAGCACCATCATCAGCAGCATCATCAGCATCGTCAGCATCATCATTTCAGAATCATCCTTATCATCAGCATCATCAGCTACAGCATCAGCACCATCATCAGCATCAGCACCAGCAGCATCATCAGAACCACCATCCTCATCATATCAATCATCAGCATCAGCATCAGCATCATCATCAGCATCATCATCAGCATCGTCATCATCATCAGCATCATAGTCATCATCATCATCTTCATCAGCACCGTCATCAGCATATAACCACCATCATGACCAGCAGCATCATCACCAGCATCATCAGCATCGAAATCTGCATCATCTTCATCAGCATCATCATCGTCATCATCAGAATAATCGTCATCACCATCATCATCATCATCACCATCATCATCACCAGCATCATCACCATCTTCTTCATCAGCATCATCATCACCATCATCATCACCATCATCATCACCAGCAGCATCGTCATCACGAACATCATCACCATCACCATCATCACCATCATCATCATCACCATCATCACCATCATCATCACCATCATCATCATCACCATCAGCGTCGGAATCAGCATCATCATCGGAATCATCACCATCATAACCAGCATCATCATCATCATCAGCATCCTCATCATCAACATCATCACCAGCAGCATCATCATCAACATCATCATCTGTATCAGCATCATCATCAGCAGCATCATCAGCATCACCAGCACCATCATTTCAGAATCATCCTTATCACCAGCATCATCAGCTACAGCATCAGCATCAGCATCAGCATCAGCATCAGCATCATCATCAGAATCACCATCATCATTACACCATGATCAGCATCAGCATCAACATCAGCATCATCATCATCAGCATCTTCATTATCGTCAGCATCATAATCATCATCACCATCCCCATCAGCACTATCATGAACCTAACCAGCAGCATCAGCAGCATCATCAGCATCATCAACATCGAAATCTGCATCATCGTCATCAGCACCATCATCATCACCAACATAATAAACATCATCATCATGATCATCAGCAATATCATCGTCAGCCTCATTATCACCAGCATCATCATCACCATCATCATCACCATCATCACCAGCATCACCATCATCAACATCATCACCATCACCATCATCACCATCATCACCACCATCATCATTACCATCACCATCATCACCATCACCATCATCATCACCATCATCATCAGCAGCAGCATCATAGTCGTCATCATCATCATCATTTTCTTCCTCAGCATAAGCATCAACATAACCAACATCATCAGCAGCCGCATCATCATCAGCATCATCAGCATCGAAATCTGCATCATCTGCATCAGCATCAGCATCGTCATCACCAGAATAATAATAATAATAATCATCATCACCATGATAATCATCACCATCATCATCACCATCATCATCACCATCACCATCATCAACATCATCACCATCACCATCATCACCATCATCACCACCATCATCATTACCATCACCATCATCACCATCACCATCATCAGCACCATCTTCACCATCATCACCATCATCATCACAACCATCAGCGTCGGAATCCTCATCACCATCATCATCATCACCAGCATCAGCAGCATCATCATCAGAATCGTAAGCAGCAGCATCATAACCAGCAACATCATCATCAGCATCCTCATCATCACCATCATCACCAGCAGCATCAACATCATCATCTGCATCAGCATCATCATCAGCAGCATCATCAGCAGCATCAGCATCATCATTTCAGAATCAGCCTTCTCATCAGCATCATCTGCTACAGCCTCAGCATCATCAGCATCAGCATCAGTATCATCATCAGAACCACCATCATCAATATGCCATCATCAGCATCAGCATCAACACCAGCATCATCATCAGCATCTTCATCATCAGCAGCAGCATCATAGTCGTCAGCATCATCATCTTCATCAGCATAAGCATCAACATAACCAACATCATCAGCAGCAGCATCATCATCAGCATGATCAGCATCGAAATCTGCATCATCTGCATCAGCATCAGCATCGTCATCAGAATAATGAAAATAATAATCATCATCACCATGATAATCATCACCATCATCATCACCATCATCACCAGCAGCATCAACATCATCATCTGCAGCAGCACCATCATCAGCAGCATCATCAGCATAACCACCATCATCATTCCAGAATCATCCTTATCATCAGCATCATCAGCTACAGCATCAGCATCATCATCAGCATCAGCATCACCATCATCAGCAGAACCACCATCATCATTATATCATGATCAGCATCAGCATCAACCTTAGCATCATCATCAGCATCTTCATCACCAGCATCATCATCATCATCATCTTCATCTTCATCAGCATAACCACCATCATCATCAGCAGCATCATCATCAGCATCACCAGCATCGAAACCTGCATCATCTGCATCAGCATCATCATCGCCATCATCAGAATAATCATCATCATAATCATCACCATCACCATCACCATCATCATCATCATCATCATCATCATCAACATCACCAACATCATCATCCCCATCATCATCACCATCACCATCACCAGCAGCATTATCATCACCATCATCATCACCATCAGCATCATCACCATCAGCATCACCAGCATCACCATCATCATCACCATCAGCGACGGAATCATCATCACCATCATCATTATCACCATCATCAGCAGCAGCATCATCATCAGCATCATCATGATCGGAATCATGGGCATCATAACCAGCATCACCATCATCATCAGCATCCTCATCATCACCATCATCACCATCATCACCATCATCACCATCATCACCATCACCATCATCACCATCATCAGCAGCATCACCATCATCATCATCACCATCATCACCACCATCATCATCACCATCAGCGTCGGAATCATCATCATCACCATCACCATCATCAGCAGAAGCATTATCATCATCAGCATCATCATCACCATCGGAATTATGAGCATCATAACCATCATCAGCAGCATCAGCATCCTCATCATCACCATCATCACCAGCAGCATCAACATCATCATCATCTGCATCAGCATCATCATCAGCAGCATCATCAGCAACATCAGCATCATCATTTCAGAATCATCCTTATCATCAGCATCATCAGCTACAGCATCAGCATCATCATCAACATCAGCATCAGCATCATCATCAGAACAACCATCACCATTATATCATGATCAGCATCAGCATCAACATCAGCATCAGCATCGGCATCTTCATCACCATCATCATCATCATCATCATCATCACCAGCATCATCATCATCATCATCATCATGATCATCTTCATCTTCATCAGCATAACCACCATCATCATCAGCAGCATCATCAGCATCATCAGCATCGAAATCTGCATCATCTTCATCAGCAGCATCATCGTCATCATAAGAATAATCATCATCATCATAATCATCATCACCATCATCATCACCATCATCATCACCAGCATCATCATCACCATCATCATCATCACCATCATCATCATCACCATCATCACCATCATCATCACCATCAGCGTCGGAATCATCATCCCGACCTTCTGGTAGCCACCCTTCTGGTAGCCCTTGCTGTCCCCCTTCTTGCCACTGTCCCAATACCTGCGCTGGGGCGAGCGACCCGTCGGCCCACGCATCGGGACCTCGCCCAGAGGGCGAGTTCCCCTCGCCTGGCTGGTTCCTGATCAGCTGATCGGCAGCCTGGTGTGTGCTCGGTTGATCGGCAAGGTCGGCGGATCGGATGACCGGCGGCTCATCGGCCGGCTCGAGCGATGCCCGCAGGGGAGTCGTGGCAAGGGGATCCCCCCTCTCGTCCAGCCTGTCCCTCTCAGGGGCGGAGAGGCACCCTGACATCCAGGAGTCGTGGCGACAACACGAAGGGCGTCAGTGCTTCATTTCGGGCCCTGGGGCCCTCACGGATCGCTCGGGCTCGGAACAACACCTCGTGAGGTTGGGTCGGGAGCTCCACCCGTGATTTGTTCGGGGCCGTCGACGCCGGAGGCCGGACGCCAGAAGCCGGGGCGGAAGGAGGGGGCAGGAGGGAAGGAGGGGGCAGGAGGGAACGAAAGGGGAGGGCAGCATGGGAAGAGAGGGGGCAGGAGGGAAGGAGGGGGCAGGAAGGGAGGAGACGGGGGAAGGAGGGGGCAGGAGGGAACGAAAAGGAGGGGCGTGAGCACCGGTTCGAGCGAAGCAGCCCTCCAGAGAGAGCAGAAGACTCCCGCCGCGCGGGGCGCGGGGGGGAGGGGCCCCCTGGGCACAGCTGGCATCCAACTGGCACGGTGCCGAGAAGACCAAATGCCGATCGCGGGTCGGCCCTGAGAGGCCAGCTGCCGATCCTTGGCACAGCTGGCATCCGTTCGCCACCACGACCCCAACGAGCACGGCCGATACGAATCGCTCACCTCCACGATTCGTTGCTGGCCTGCTGCGGCGGACGCAACAGGCACACCCGCGCTCGCATTCTACAAGCCTGGGAACTCCAGATGGGTCTCTGGCCAGGTGGGGTGCCGGTGTGTGACTGGAGAGGCTCGAGACGGAGTGCTGGGGGCAGCCAGCGCGATTGAAGCAGCTGCTGCCCCCGGCACGAAGAGAGAAGGCTGAGCCGCCTTCCCAGAGCTCTCGGAGGCTGCGACAGGAGCGGGGAAAGCATTGCGCGCATTCGTCTTCGAGCATCGTCGGCCATGTACACAGGCATAGCAGGCCAACCACAAGTAGCATAACACATCAGGCTGTCGAATAACCGCGCGGATCTCCTGGGTCGGCGACGGGCCCTCCCTCCCCTGCCGAGGGGGGCGCATACGTGGGGTAGGGGCGGAGGTGGGGTCAAGAGGAAGATCGCCCCATACGGCCGCTGGAAGAAGGAAAGAGCTGTGGGCATCCAGCTGGGCTCGCTCCTGAGCCCCACCTTGGGGCAACCACAAGGTACCCGTACCGCTACTCCCCGGACCTCTCTCGGGGTGCGTTCTGACCAGAGTTTCGAGGCGAATCCAGCGGTGGCGACGAGGGCCTCCCAGGAGGCGCAAGAAGGGGGAAACGAGGAAGGGTAGCGGTATCGGTACCTGTTCCTCTTCTGAACGGTGGGGTGACCTTCCCTCTGCGCACCCCCGCCCCAGGCGCGCGCGAAGCGCGCCAGGGGCGGCGCCGCCAGAGGCCGCCAGGAGGGGATATCCAGCGCTTGCATCGCCCCCGGACGCGCGCGGGCGAACAAAAATCAGCACAGACACACACACGCACACAAGCTTTCGGAGGTCCGCGCGGATCTCCTGGGTCGGCGCCGTACCCTCCCGTAAGACGAAGCCAGGACGAGGAGAAAGCAGGGGAGGACAGATCGGGAATCTCTGAGATCCGGCGGCTCTGGAGGATGCATCGCGCGCCGCGGCCTTCTCAGAGCGTTCTGGACGGATTTACCTTCGTCCTAGCCCCGTCCGACGGACGGTCGCGTAAACTGACATTAGATTCGACACTGTGACCCAAGACGCCCCCTCGCCCCCCCGAAATTAAAATTGATGGCGTGGCGAAGGAGGGGCGTGAGTGGACAGATATATTCGAAACCCCAAAGCACCGCCATTACTGAGATCAATGTCGGGGGCGGAGGGGTGATTCAGAAGTCCCCTCGAATGTGTAAGGGTTCGACTAGATTGTCCATCTACTGTCCCTCCCCTGGCGCGCGAAGCGCGCCAGGGGGCGGCGCCGGGAGGAGCAGGGGATATCCAGCGCTTGATTCGCCCCCGGGCGCCGCTGACCGCCCCCGTAGTGGCGCTGCGGCTCCTCAAGAGGGGCTCGTCCTCCTCCGCCTCCTCCTCCTCCCTCTCCTCCCCCTCCTCCTCCTCCAGTCCTTTTCCTAATGAATAAATTTTCCCTGTCGCACCCCGAGGCCAGTTTTTAGGGCGTGCCGGGCGTTTCGCCTTAGACTTCCACACTACTTATGACTCTGAAGTTTACGAAATGGCAACAGCTTCACAGATGGAGGGCGGGTCGTTTCCAAAATGTGGTTCTCGCCTTAGTGCATCGCACATTCGTTTTAAAAAGTTGCCAGATCTTCACGAATTGAGGGTGGGTCGTTTTCAAAATGTGGCCCTCGCCTTAGCGTGGCGCACATTCGCTTTCACAATTCGCAAGAATGTTACAGATTGAGGGCGGGCCGTTTTCAAAAAATGTGGCTCTCGCCTCAGCGCGGCGCATGTTTTGCAAAATTGCAAGAGCATCATTGACTGAGGGCGGGTCGTTTTCAATATGTGGCCCTCGCCTTAGCGTGGCGCACATTCATGTTAAAGAGTTGCAAGAGCTTCACGGATTGAGAGCGGCGCCTTTCCAAAATGTGGCTCTCGCCTTGACGCCGCGCACATTCGTTTTCACAAGGTTCAGGAGTTTCGCGGATTCACATCATCAGCGTACAGAAATGGTGTTTTGGAAAGGTTCAGGATTATGCGGGTGCGACAGTTAAGTTGTTTCTCTGTGTTGAAGTCCTCGGAATGGCGTTCTGGCACGATTCAGGATTCAAGAAGCAACAGTCAAGTTGATCCGTGGCGTTGGAATCCCGATAACATTGTTTTGGCATGCTTCAGGGTCTTCAAACGTGTGTCTTCCAACGAGGCGGTTCCCTCAATGGAAATGAACCGTTGTATGAGGCCTATGAAGAGGGAGCTTGGAGGGAGGGTTTACTCCAACATCGTTGATGACTCTTGGGTTTACACTGGTCCTCCTCCTTCTCCTCCTCCTCCTCCTCCCCCCCCTCCTCCTCCTCCTCGTACTCCTCCTCCTCCTCGTCCTCCTCCTCCTCCTCCTCGTCCTTCTCCTCCTGCTCTTCCTCCTCTTCCTCCTCCTCCTCGTCCTTATCCTCCTCCTCCTCCCCCTGCCCCTCATCCCCCCATCCCCCAATTTTAATACGATAACGCATATAAGCTGCCGCCATGCCTCACTGGCACGTCGAGACATGGAATAATGAGTGCCAAGTGCGGTGTGGCATGACCCCTGCAAGTCTTCCACGGGGCACCTCGCCCTTCCAACCACGAAGTGGCATGAAGCGCCCGCCCCCGCCCCCCTGCAGAGGATCGCAGGGCGGCCCGACGCTTCTCCGGCGCCTTCTAAAGCGTCTAGGAGGCTCAACATGGCTTCCCGGACAGCCGAGGCTGGCCACCAAGATTGCCCAAGATGCCTTGAGGACAGCCCAGGACCGCTCCACGAAGGCCAAATATGGCCTCAAGACGGACGGCCTGAGAGAACCCCAAGACGGCCAAAGCGGGCTTCAAGAGGACAAGGAGGTGAAGTCTCTGACTCCCCTTAGGCTTTTCCAATAGCCTCGCGTTCTGAACTTTTCGGGGTCCCGTCAGCCCCAGGTGGGCCAAGAGGCCTTCAAGATGGCCCCAGGACGGTCCAAGAGGCCCCGAAGAGGGCCCCGAAGGGGCCCAGAGGGCCTCCTAGACGGCCCCAAGGCGGCCCCAAGACGACCCCAAGGCGGCCCCAAGACGGCCCCAATGAGACCCCAAGACGAAGACGGCCCAGAGAGGCCCCCAGGGCGGACTCCGAAGGCGCCAGACTGCCCAAGAGCTCCCCGAGACAGCCCAAGGAGCCCCCAAGGAGCCTCGACAGGCCCCCAAGACGCCCCAAAGCGACCTCCAAGAGGCTCCCAAGAAGGCCCTAAGAGGCCCCCAAAAGGCCCAAGAGGAGGAAGCAACGCGTTACGGCCTCCTGCGCGCTCCTCGACCAGTCGCCACCCAGAGTGCTGGGCTGGCACGGTGGCGGGACTTGCCGCAGGCGGCTGGATCCGCCGCCCCCTGCTTGCAGGGGTGCACGGCGTGCTGGACGTTTCAGGTTTTGGTTTTGGTTCTTTTTCCAAAAGAACTCCCCAATGGGCTCCGGCAGAACCCGCCGGCCACCCGGAATTTCCCCAAACGTGCTCAACGACCGCAAAAAATCCTCCAAGAACGGCCGTTTCGCTCGGGACATCCTCAAAAAATCGCGAAGATGGCCCAAGATGGCCTCCAAGTCCGCCCGAGATGGTCCAAGACGGCCTCCAAAACGGCCCAAGAGAGTCCAAGACGGCCCAAGACGGCCCAAGAGGCCCCCCAGAGGCCTCCCAGACGGCCCAAGAGGCCTCCAAGAGGTCCTCCAGGAGAGTCCGAAGAGGCCAAAATCATTGATTTTCCCTTGGTTTTTGAAGGATTTTGGCATTTGCGCCTTTTCGGCTCTCCGACGGCTCAAGACGGCCCAAGAAGCCCCCAAGATCGCCCAAGAGGCCCCCAAGAGAGCCCCATGATGGCCCAAGTGGCCTCCAAGATGGCCCCTAGAGGGCCCCAAGAGGGCCCAAGAGGCCTCCAACACGCCCAAGATGGCCTCCCAGACGCCCAAGATGGCCTCCAAGACGGCCCTGGAGCATTCCAAGCGGGCCCCAAGTCGGCCCATAGAGGCCCCCCAAACGGCTTCCGACGGCTTCAGACGTGCCAGGAACCCACCAAGATGGCCGAAGTTGGCTCGAAGCTGGCCCGAGACGGCCCAAAAAGCCCCAAAGATCGCCCAAAGCTTGCCCAAGAGGCCTCCAAGACGGCCAAGATGACCTTCAAGATGCCCACGTGTTCCCCGAAGGCTTTCCAAACCGATTCGGGGAACACGTGGTCCGATAGCTTGGCAGGTCTGGCCTCAACGTTCGGCCACATAGGCGCTTCCAAAAAGGCAGGGGGCGGCGGTGATTCGCCGTAGGCGTCTTCGATACATTTCCATCGGGGCCTGCAGGCGACGTCCATCGCGGGACCCTCCGAATGCAACAATTGTTCCCGTCATCCGGCGACCCTGTCGGCGTGCGCAACGGACTTTTCTATTAGATGCTCTCTCTCTCCTTTCATTGTGGCCACTTTAGCCCCTTCTCAGGTGCGCCAGCCGCGACGACATCGAGCCATACGGGATCGAGTCAAAAAGGAAGCCCAATCCCTTTGATTGCTGATTCGACGCGAGTGGGTGGGTCCTGGGGAGTTCAGGAGAGGGAATCAGGGGAGACAGAGCCCCAAGACCCACCAACGTGGACCAGGCTGCAGCCAAATCGGGCAAATTGGGCCACCGTTGCTCTCCTCCCTGCTGCCCCCTTACGCTGCACTTTACCAGAGTGCTCCCTCGTCAATGATTCGACCTGCTGCACCATTGTTCCATGCTCCCTTGCCCCCTCTACTTCTCCTGCCGCCCCCTCCTCCCGTGCCCCCCTTCCGCCTGTTACGTCCTTGCCCATCTCCTTCCAGGGTCGGCGGAACTGTCCGTAAGGTCTCGGCGATACAATCTGCCGCCGCGACACGAGGCACTGAGTGGCGCGTCCGCAGTTCATCGATGGATCCCACTGGTGGAGATTGGAAGGTGTTCTCCAGGCCCCAAGGCCCCCAATTGACGTGCTCTTGAGCACTCGTGCGCGCTCTTGGGATGTGGCGCGTAATGTTCCCTGGTGCCCTGCAAGCGTTCTTCGGACTCCAAACCTCCAGATTGCTGCGCGATGGCCAAACAGGCCAGATGTGAAGCCCTCTTGGAGACCTCGTGGGCCAGCTTGGAGGCCTGGGGCCAGCAAAGAAGGAGACACAACTGACAACAAACAACATGATCGCATGTTCAATCTTAAGCGCGTGCAAGGCCTCCTCATCCCCATGAATTCCTTTCCTTATGAATAACTCCTCTCTGTCGCATTCCGAGGCCAGTCGGAGGGGCGGGCTGGGCGTTTGGCATGAGACTTCCTCGTCATGGATTAGCCTGATGTTTAAGAACTGACAACAGTTTAACAGATGTGGTTCTGGCCTTAGCGCCGCGCACGCTCGCTTAAAACATGTGCAAGAGCTTCGCGGATTCAGGGCGGGTGGTTTCAAACTGTGGCTCTCGCCTTAGTGCCGCGCATATTCGCTTGACAAACATTGCAAGAGCTTCACGGATTGAGAGCGGTTCGTTTTCAAAATGTGGCTCTCGCTCTTGCGTCGTGCAGATTCGTCCCAAGCCTGTGAAGAGTTCCACAGGCTCTCATGGTTAACGTACCAGAAACGGTGCTTTGGAACGATTGAGCACTGTCAGGGCGCATCAGTTGAGTTGCTTCGCAGTGTTGAAATCCCAGGAAGGGTGGCACGATTAAGGATGGTCAAGACACAGCAGTCAGGTTGACTCGTGGCGTTGGAATCCTAAGAATGGTGTCTTGGTGCGCATCAAGATTATCACACGGTTGTCCCCCAACGGCGTAATTACTTTCCTCAGTGGAAATAAAACCTTAGTAGGGGCCTATGAAGAGGGAGCTTGGAGGGAGGGTGTAATCCAACATCGTTGATGAATCTTGGGTTGACACTCGTCATCCCCTTCCTCCTCCTCCTCCTACTCCTCCTCCTCCTCATCATCCTCCTCCTCCGTGTTCTCTTTCTCTTTCCTCACCACCTCCTCATCTCTCTCTTCCTCTCTCCAATGTTCCCCACAAGGTTTCCCCAACGGCTCGGGGTGAGTCCAACATCTTGACCAACCGTAAGTCTAACCTTGAGCCGCATAGGCGCTTCCCAAAGGCAAAATAATGACTTCACTGACACTCGATGAGAGAGCGCAGCCGGCCGCGGACGGCTCCGGTTGGCTGAACTTTAGGCGCGCGGTCTCGTCCCCAGCGTCCAGACGCCGCTGGCGCTCTCGGCGCGCATCCTCCAGGGGGGGGGGCTAGCGTGGGGGAGGAGGAGGAGGAGGAGGAGGAGGAGGAGGAGGAGGAGGAGGAGGAGGAGGAGGAGATGGACCAAGATTTCAGGCAGGCTGGTTGTTCAACCCCATCCTCCTGGATCCAGATGGGCCCGTAGGGGCTGCGTTCGGGCCCGGGGACAATCAAAAACGTGTCTGGGACGAGGAGCTGAGCGGCCCCACAAGGAAGGGGACCGGACCACTGAGGCGCACAAATTCAAAAAATCAGCCCATCGGACGTCCAGGCATGGAGGGCAGAGGAGGAGAGGAGGAGGGTGGAGAGGAAGAGGTGCCCGAGTAAAGGGGGGCAGAGCTCAAAGATTGAACGGTCTTTGCCCCCCACCCCGAGGTCCTCCGTGAGCTTCACGAACATGTCGAAATTCTCTGACTCGCTCGAGAGCTGAACCTCCAGCACGGAGTTGGTCGAGTTGATGGCGACCGTGTCCTTCACGAGCTCTACTAAGTCCTTGGTAGTTTCTTTGCCATAATACCTGACATTGAAGGTCTTCCTGAGGTACTTGTTATAATAGAACGGAAGGTGTTGCTCGTGAATGCCAATTCGCTCTGGATCTACACTCGTGGCATCACTCTTAAAGCCCTGCAGCAACAGGTGCAGCTCCACTCGCAAGCTCAACAGAGCCCAATCCTCGAAGCCAAACAATGCGAAGAGAGGCTTGCCACCACCGACGTCGGCGATGTTCTCCACAGCGAACACGTCCTCGATTTCTTTGGGCTCCTCCTTGGCCTCCTCCTTGGCCTCGCCATCCTTGGACGCAGGAGAACCCAGGAACCAGCCTAAAAGCCATGCCCCGTCATGGAGGCTCCTGCCTCAAACATGGGTGGGACTGTGGCGAATTTGAAGCAGCCAGGCAAAACTCCATCCTACTGTTGGGCTCCAGAGGAACCCGATTTGAAGACTGGGGTGGGCATTTGCCCTTTGTGATCCTTTGCCGCGCACTCCTTTGCCTCGTCATCATTTGCCTCGCTCTCCTTTGCCTCAGCGTCCTTGGCCTCGCCCTCCTTAGAATCGCCTTCTTTGGCCTCGCCCTCTTTCGCCGCGTCCTCCATCCGAAGGGCAGGGTGGCAGAGACAGCGGCCGAATAAGCTGATGGCCAAAGCTACCGCACCGAATGCTCACAAGGACCGCCTGTGAGGAACAGAAGATTACAGAGATCACTGGGGAGGCTGCCCGCGGCACGGCCCGCAGGGTGAGGCGAAACCAGGGCACAGGCGCTGGCTCAGCGATGCGGGGCAGGCGAGGCGCAAACACCCGCGCTCCGCCAGGCATCGGGCGGGCAGGGGCTGCCTCTCCTTCTGCTCCCTCGCTGGATGCCTCCACGGGGGTCACACCCAGAAAAAAACGGCATCCTCGATCCTCGCGCGGAGCCCATAGAAGGACGACAAGATTGCAGAATCCGCATGCTTCGGAGGTCTGCGCGGATTTATTGGGTCTGCGCTGGACCCCCTCCCCCCGGAGCACGGAGCGCTGGAGGCGCCGCCAGGGGGGGTCCAGCGCCGATCCAAAGAAAACGCGCGGACATGATCATCCGAAAGTTCATGCTTACGCCGTTTCCTGTTCTGCGACGGAAACGTCCTAAAGCCCCGCGCGGGAGTTCGAGCTCGCCCCCGCGTCCTTGCTGCCCTCCTCCGCGCCCTCTGGCTTCTCAGCCTCGAATGGGCGCTTCCCCCGCCGACCCAGGTCGGGGGGAGGGGGCCAGGCCGGCGCCGACGGCGGGGCCTCGAGGAGACCCTCCTCCGGGACGAAGCCAGGACGGGGGCGAGATCGTACAGGGACAGCACTCGGGGAGCTCTGAGATCCTGCGGTCCGGGAGGATGCAGTTGGCGCCGCAGCGCCGGCTCCGGCTCCCACGCAGGCCCCACCGGAAACGCCACACCCGAGAACAGGACCAGGCCCCGCCGAACACGCCCCACCCAAGAGCAGGACCACGAGAAGGGGGAGGAGAATGAGGAGAAAAGCAGGAGGAAGATTGCGAGGAGAAGCAACAGGGGAATGAGAGGACCTGGAAAAAGCAGGACAATTACATGGACAAAGAGGAGGACGATGACAAGGAAAACGAGGGCGGCGATAAGGAAGAGACGAGCTTGACGCAGAGAAAAAGAAGAAAGAGGGGTATCCAGAGGAGGGGGATGAGGGAAAGAAATAAGAAGAAGAAAACTAAGAAGAAGAAGAAGAAGAAGAAAAAGAGGAAGAAGAGCAACAGGAAGAAGAGGATCAATAAGCAGGGGCAACAGGAAAGGAAAGGACCACAAAACGCAAGGGAAAGGCAACGGGAACGGGAACGGCAAAGGGAATGCAAAGGCAGAGGAAGAGAAAAGGCGGAGACAGAGGCAGAGCCGGAGGCGGAGACAGAGGCACAACTACGGTTCGTGTGAGAGGAAGGGCGGCAAAGAAAGATGACAGGGCTGTAGAAGAAGAGATAGAGGAAGATGAATTAAGAGCAGCATCAAGAGCATGAGGCCGAGTTAAATTTGTAGGCGGGAATACGGATCCTCCTCTGGCCGTCAAAGGCGAATAAATCAAGTGGCTAGCTTGCGCCAAGACGCCCCTACACAGAGTGACACAAGGAAGAAGCTGAAGAAGAGAGAACAACGATATACACACGCGCGGACGCGCACGCACATATATACGCGCACAAAAACAAACAAACACACACAAACAAACAAACAAACAAACAAACACCAACTGTTTCGCCTCGCGGCCCTGCGCGCAGAGACAGGGCGTAGGAGGTCCAAAAGCAGCAACCGCGCGCGCGCGTCTAAGCTCGCCCGAGCCCTCAGAGACCATGTAACAAAAAAACGAACACACACACACACACACACACACCACACACACACCACACACACACACACACGCACACACAAACACACACAAACATATACGCACGCACGCACGCGCGCACGCACGCACGCACAAACACACAAGCACACGCACACAAGCACAAGCACAAGCACGAGCACAAACACAAGTACACACGCACAAAACACACACACACACACACACGCACGCACGCACGCACGCACGCGCGTGCGCACGCACGCACGCACGCACGCACGCACGCACGCACGCACGCACACACACACACACACACACAAAAGAACACACACACACACACACACACACGCACACACACACACACACACACACACACAACACACACACACACACACACACACACACACGCGAGCGCGAGCGCGCGCGCGCGCGGCAAGGCTGGGAAAGAGGTCCCCCAGCCGGGCCGCGCCTCCCAGGGCGCCTTGCCAAGCCTTGCCCAGCAGATCCAAGCCGATCAGAGAAGCGGCCGAAGAGGCGCAGGAGAGCCCCAATACCACGCAAGACGGCTTCAAGACGGCACAAGAAGCCCCCAAGACGGCCCAAGAGGCCGCCAAGACGCGGCGACAGGCCTTCAGGAGGGCCCCCAAGAGGCAAACATCTTCCCATTCCCTTGGGGGAACCTGCATTTCGGCATAGTCGTTTTTTCTGTCGCAGCAGCGTTCACGGCCGCACCACCAAGAGGCCTCCGAGATCGCCCCAAGACGGCCCAAGAGGCCCCCAAGAGGGCTTCAAGGCAGCCCACGAGGGCCCCAAGGCAGCCCCAAGACGGCCCGAAAGAAGCGCACAAGGCCCCAAAAGACGCCCAAGAGAGACCCGCGAGGGCCATGGGAGGTCGCCAAGAGGGCCCACGATGGCCCCAACAAGACCCATAGAGAGCCCGAATTCCCAGAGAAGGCCCCAGCACGTCCCAAAAGGGACCCAAAACGGCCCAAACAAGCTTCGAAAAGGACCCCCAAGACGGCCCAGAGGGGCGCCCAGGAGGCCTCCACAGGCCCCCAAAGACCTCGAGAGGCATTCGTGGAGCCCCCAAGAAATTCGGCAACAAAGACCCTCCGTAGAAGGACCTGCGGCTGACTGGGAATTGTTCGCAACGCCAGGCGGGAGCGAGGATGAATGGGAGGAAAGATGTGGAACGATAAAGCGTTACTTCCCGTTGCCTTGCACGAGGGTTGCTGGAGGTTCCCCTGACGGTGTTTGCACTCGGGTTCCTCGCTCATGTGTTCAGAACTTGAGTGGGTCGGCCGAGTCTTCGTCACGTGCCCGCCCATGTCGCATCGCGGGCGATCGTGAGCTCCAAACCCTATAGTTTACACTCATGGTTTCCTCTTCGCATAGCTTCCACAACGCGGTTCCCAACACATTGTTCACACCATCTGTCCTGCACCATGTAAAATCATCGTGTAGATACCACCACATCGCCCGCGAGTTTACACAACATAGCTACCACCACGTAGCAAACACCGATGAGTTTTCACCGCATAGCTCACACCACATGGTGGCCAAGACATAGCTCACATCACATGGTTCAAGCCGCGGAACTTCCACCGCCAGAGTTCAACACCCCACTCTTCGGGGTCTACGGTCTAAGATGGCTAATGTACTTGCTAGTTCTATACCTTTGGGAACCGCTGGAAACCGCCAGGCTTCGTGGAGTTTCTGCAATATTTGGAGGTTTTGGCTCGACGTCGGCTTCCAAGAACCGCTGCAACTCGGAGGGCCTGAAAAAACAGAGCCGAGAGAAGAGAAAACGACACCCAGGAAACAGTTTTTCCTCTACAGCGGTAGGTTGACGCCGTGCCGACGCGGCGGCGACACTGGCGCCAGCGTTCGGAATGAACGTGGCCAGTGGTCAGGAATCGGCCGGTGTCGAACGGGCATGCACGATCCTTGACGGCTGAACGATCCAAGCGGTGTTAAAAAGTCGACGCGCAGGCCGTAACGGACATCTGCCGGCGCAGGATCCAGCGAAGAAGGCACGCGATGTTGGCTCAACGTTTGTTTGGAGCCTCTAGGTGGCGTTCTCGTCGCCACGTCATCGGATCCACCTCGACATTCGATTCAGCCACCCCAAGAGGAATTCGGGTGGCACGCGAACATGTAAATCGAAGGCGAGAACAAATACGAAACGGGCGCACCAAATTTCAAAAGGCCATAAAGGACGACGCCAAATGCCACCAGATGCGAAGCTTGAAGGACCAAGGTGCGTGGCGCGATGCACCAACGCAGTCTTGTGTCTGCATACATCTACGAATGAATAGATAAATAAATAAATATGTGAGCAAAAACACTTTTAGCACCGCGGCCTCGCGCGCAGCGACAAGGCGTAGAAAGACAAGATGAGAGAATAAGCGGCGCACACGCGCGCGGCCGGGCCCTCAGACGAAGGGGGCAAGAATCCACCTGAGGATCAACCATGCCATTCGCATACCCGGGCATGGGCAGCAAGGGTAAGAAGGAGGACTCGAGTAGGGGATCGACTACAGAGTTGCTCTACCCGAAATCGACATGTTCGTCGAACATGCAAGAGATAATTGGAAAACTCGTAGCTCCATACAAACATTATACGCATTGTCTGTAGACTCGACGAAACACATGACTTGTGGGGTAAGTAAATTCTGTAGTCGATCCCCTACTCGGAAAAAGGAATGCGAAGAGCTACGCCGACAGGCCAGCGCAGCAGTTAATGCACGCGGCGGAAGGGCCGAGGCGAGGCAAAGCGGCGCCAGAACACCAGCGAGGGCGAGACCGGCGAGGGAGGCGCAGCGAGGGCCGAGGTGGCCGAAAAGCACAGACAATGTGTTGGGCGAGGAGGGGGGAGAGGAGGGGGAGGGGAGGGGAGGGGAGGGGGAGGGGAGGGAAGGGGAAGGGGAGGGGGGGGAGGGGGAGGAGGGGGAAGGGGAGGGCGAGGAGGAGCACGAGCATGAGCATGAGCATCTAGGACGGTGAGGAGGTGGGGGCACGCACCGCCAAACGCTGACGCCAAGGCACGGTGAAGGAGGCGGGCGCAGACACACACACACACACACACACACACACACACACGCACACACACGCACACACACACACACACACACACACACACACACACACGCGCACGCGCACGCACACGCACACACACACACACACACACACACACACACACACACACGCACACGCACACGCACACACACACACACACACACACACACGCGCACACACACACACACACACACACACACACACACACGCGCGCGCCCGCAGACGCGCACGGGGACCCCCCTTCACGCCAGCCACTTTTCGGGCTGCCGCTGGACTTCCCGTTGGCCCCGTGGTCGGGCGGGCTGGGCTCTCGGCCTTCGCCGCGTCACCCTCGGCGGCCTTGGTCTCGTCCGCCTGCGCCTGCAGTTCCTCCTTTTTCTTCTTGGCGGCGGCCTCCGCCTGCCTCGCGGGCTCGCCCGCCTTCCACTCGTTCGCCTGCGAGCAGGCGGGAAAAAAGATAGCTGTATGTGCGCCAGAGAAACATGCTGCCCCCTGGCTGTGAGTTGATCGCGCCCCCGGTCCCTCACGACTGGCACGGCTGCGTTTGACAAGGTCGCGTATGCTCAACGTGTTCGTTTTCACTCGCACATCTCTGCGCCCGACTGCGTCTACGGGGCCTACTCATTCCACTGCCTGTCTCGAAGATAGCACACGCACACACACACACACAAACAAACCAACACACGCACACACACACACAAACAAACAAACAAACAAACAAACAAACACACACACACACACACACACACGACATCAAGGAGCCAGCCCGGAGGCCAAGATACGGGACACTCCAGCGCCATCCCCCATCGACTCCCACAATAAAACAGCTCGAAGCGAGCGTCGACGCCTCAAGCGTATCATCATGACCACACCCTTGGCAGGGCAGCTCGTGCACGCGTGGACATGTCCGCGGCCCGACCTTCATACATCAAGGGCAGGGCCGCTACGAGCATTGCGCGCCCGACTCAGAGAACCACTGAGCTGAGGGAGCCACGTTCACCCGAGGGAGGCGTAGAAGAGAAGGGATGAGCTTAGTCATGGGCCGTCTTCGGACTCCTCAACTTCGCAGTTCGCTCAAAGGGGTGGCTCGAGGGGGCTGCTTTCTAAGCAGGCACGGGCGTCTGACAAGGAAGGCGGCGTCTTGGAAGCCCCCAGGCGTCGAAGCCCTCCTAGAAACCTCAAGGCCCTTCGACCCATGCAATTCCGAGAAGCACCCCGCCAAGGTCGCCCCCTCGCACCTGCCCATGTTCGCGCCCCCAACCCCCCTCCAGGAACCAGGTTGTCGTGTTAGCTTCATGGGGCCCTTGAGCCTTCCAAACACCAGAAATGAAAACATTGCTTCCCTGATATGGGAATGCGTTCGGACGCCCGCGAACGTCCCCCTCCCGGGAGGCACCCGCGGGGCGGGCGTCGGGAAGGGCCCTGCGAGGCATGCATGTTCTGGTCGACGGCCGCGGGAGAATCAGACGGCGGTCGAGCAGCACGAGCAGCGGCGGGGCGCGCCGGGGCACGGTGGGGCACGACGGGCGGAGGGCGCGGAGAGGCGCGAGGCGGCAGCGTGTGAGGCGTGCGCACTTCGACTCCCCCACCAGGCCTTGGCATGCCAGCCCTGCAGCACCTTCTGCCACTCGTCGAGCTTGGTCCTGAAGGACTCCGAGGGCTGCAGGTCCTCGATACGACACAGCAGCTTCTGCCTGCGAGCCCAGGTGCCAAAAGCGTTCGCACTTTCTTTCTCTGCTTGCCAATCATAGCGGATCTCGTCGAAGCCCTCCTCCTTAGTTGGCATCGAAAACTTCGTGAAGCTGGAGCTCATAATAAATGTGGCGATGTCTGGCACCGGCTTCTTGAGAAAGCTGGCTGCCTTCTCTTCGGCAGTCAGCTCGGCCTGCTTCGGCTCCTTCTCCTCCTCCTCCTCCTCCTCGTCCTCTTCCTCCTTACTCTCCTCCTTGACTTCCTCCTTGACACGATCTTCCTGCTTAACTTCCTCTTTAGCCTCCTCCTGTTTCATGTCCACATCCTTCGACTCCTCCTTCACGCCCTCCTCGTCCTTGTTTTCGGGATCACCCTCCTCTTTTGCCTTGGCCTCCTCCTCTGATTTTCTCTTCACCTCCTCTGCCTGTTTCTTCGCCTCCTCCTCTGCCTTCTTCCTGGCCTCCTCAGCTGCCTTTATCTTCGCCTTCAACTCCTTCTTCGCCGTTCGCTCCGCCACTCTTTGCTTCCACGCCAACTCTTCCTGAGCCTCCTTCTGCTTGAGGAGAGCTGCCTGGGTCTTCGCCTTGAAAGCAGCCGGAGGGTCCCCCATTACCACCATGGCCACTTTCTTGTAGTGTGGAGCATTAAAGCGCTTGAGGCAGTCAGCCCGCTCTTCCTTCACCAAGTTTGCCTTCACCTCCATCACGACATAGTCTCGCGGCTGCGATGCTACGATGGACTTTATCACCCTCTGCACGCTCATGTCATCAAGCCCCGGAATGCCGAAATTAATGTCCGGCTTGTCGTTGCTGTGCTTGTAGCTTCCACGCTTGTCCCTCCAAATACCGCTCTTATCGGCCCACTCTAAAATCTTTCTATCGCTGAGTTCGACGTACTTGGGGTTCTTTTCCAAGAACATGTCCAGCCAGTCAAACGTGCCCTCATCTGGGATGCCCACAGGCAGCAGAACCTCGTAGCCACCCTCTTTGGTTGGCGCCTTCTGCACTTTGCTGTCCGCCACTGCCGCCTGCGAAATCATGTGGCAGGTGAAAGGCAAAGGCACCATCGGAGAAGCACCGAAATTGACCTGGAGGGTCACGTTCTTGAAATTGATGTGGGGGTAAAGGGGCTTGCCTTTGAGCGCATCTGGGATCTTCTGTGGTTGGGAGATGCGTTGCCCGCCCTTGAACACGCTAAGTGTGTTTGCGTTCGGGCTCTTGTCGTCCAAGTTGAGGACGATTCCGATCACGTCATCGCGCCCGAATGGCTTCGAGACGCCATCCTGCTTCGCCCCGTCTGCGGTGAAGCTGCCCTCCGAATCGAAGCACACGCTCTCGCCTGGGATGTCTCCACTACGCACGTCAATGCAATGTTTGCTCAGCCCCTTCCCCCGCCATACTCCCACCTCGCCCGCGCGAGGGAGAAATGGAGATGGGGATGGGGTGAATCGGCTCGGTGGGGAGAAGCGGGGGGGGGAGTGGCCATCCCAGATCGCCGCCGTCCCCGAGGAAGAGCGACGAGCCCTGCGTCGAGAAGCCGACCTTGACCGCTTGTCGCGGCGCCGGCGCCCGGTTGCCGCGGGAGGACTCCGCTGGACTGAGGAGCTCAAGGACCTTGACCTCGAAGAGGTACCGGCCCTTGGCAGGAGCGAGGCGTGATCAAACCACGCAGCAATATGCCCTGATTCTTGGGAAGAGGGAGGTCGGGCAGGAAGGAAGAAGAGCGCTTCTGCTGTATCGCTCTGTGCAGACGTAAACGACTGCGCGTGTGAGTGCACAAGACTGCACAGGTACTTCGCGCCATGCATTCTGCTGCTCCTCAAAAAGTCGAACACGGGCGGGGCTGGGCACAGACGAGCAGAAAATCCACGTCCTCGGGGTGGTCACGCACGGGACTCACAAAATCGGCTTCAAAACGACAGCGAACTGCCAAATCCAGATTGCAAGCATCACTTAAGGAAATCGCGCAGCGGATCTTAGATTCCTCGCGCTTCAGAGGGGTCTGCGTCTGGACAGGCGATCCGCCCGCTCCTTCTCGTCGTCTCTACAGGTACTCAGCAGTTTCCAATAGAGTGCTTGCACGTTGGGGTTCTCATCCTGCTGCCTCAGAAGTTGGATGGACCTGCCGTGGTTTCGGCTGGTGCCCCGTTGGTGGCCGCCCTTGGGCGCCTTATGGCCGCCTCGTGCGCTGAGTCGGTGTGGCGGGGTTTCGACTGGTGCCCGGCCGTGGCCGCCAGTGGGCCCCTCGTGGGCGCGTCGAGGGCGCCCCGTGCGCTGGGTGCACCACATAGATCGCGCCACACGACTTGCACAACATGAAGTCCAGGACATAGCTAGCGTCACACGGCTTGCTCCACGTGGCTTGAAACGCTCAGCTTGCATCACACGTATATAGATACATACAAGTATGGATGCTGGATCGCTGAAATTGTGTCACCTACACTGCACCACCTAGCTTGCAAAGCTTCACATGCAATACCTATGTGAAAACACCCCGAACGCATACAACGCAAAGCTTGCACCACATAGATTGGACCACTGATATTACACTACGTAGCTTGCACCACCTATTCGCCATCTGTGCCCCCTGGCACGTTGAGGCGTGGAAGAATGGCAAGGTCTGTCTGGTAGGGTTTTTGAATTCTAATGAGGGGCTGTCCCATCCTCTACCCGCAGACTCTTGCGTGCACCTCCCTACTCAATGAGGCCACTTCCCTCGTGCCCGCTAGAGGATAGTGCACGTGTAGCACGGCAGCTAATGCCTAAACCCCCACTCCACGCGTGTCCGCTCGAGGATAGTGCACTTCCAGCATGGCACCAATGCCTAAACCCCCAGTCCACGCGTGCACGCTCGAGGATTATGCACTTCCAGCATGGCAGCGAATGCCCAAACCCCCGTTCCACGCGTGCACGCTCGAGGACAGTGCACTTCCAGCATGGCAGCGAATGTCTGAACCCTCATTCCACGCATGCCCGCATGGCAGCTAATGCCTGAACCCTCATTTCATGAGCGCCCGCTCGAGGATTGTGCACTTCCTGCATGGCTACTAACTCCTAGGCCCCTCATCCCACGCGCACCGTTCGAGGATCGTGCACTTCCCGCACTCCCAGGCGCTGCTCCCAAGCGCTCCAGGGCCTTCCAATCGACGATCCCTCGTTTAAAGCAATGGATACGCGTCCCGAGCTTCCAAGACGGCCCGTGCAGGCAACCAAGGACACCAAGATAGCCCAAGATGTCTAGAAGACATCCACAGATGGCCCAAAATGGCCACCAGAGGACCGTCAAGAGGATCACAAGAAGCCAAAATCATTGATGTCCCTTGGGCTTTTGAATGAGTGTCGCAGTCCTGTCTTTTCGGGATCCGTCAGCTCAAGATGGCCCAAGTGGGCTCCACGATGGCCAAAGAGGCATCCAAGACTGCCCCAAGACGGCTCAAGCGGACCTTACGTGACGTGGGACCCAAGACGGCCTTAGGAGGCCCCTCGACGGCCCAAGAAGGCGACAAAACGACCCCCACAGACACCCACCATACGGTCAAGAGAGCCCCAAGACGACCCAAGAGAGCCCCAAGTCGCCATAAGAGGGCCAAAAGACGGCGCAGGAGGACCCCAAGGAGCCCAAAAGACTCTCACTGGAGGCCAAGACAGTCCCAAGACAGCCCAACGAGTTTCATCATCATCATCATCATCATCATCATCATCATCATCATCATCATCAGCAGCAGCAGCAGCAGCATCAGCATCAGCATCAGCATCAGCATCATCATCATCATCATCATCATCATCATCAGCAGCATCAGCATCAGCATCAGCATCAGCATCAGCATCATCATCATCATCATCATCATCATCATCATCAGCATCAGCATCAGCATCAGCATCATCATCATCAGCATCATCAGCAGCATCCTCATCATCACCATCATCACCAGCATCACCATCATCATCACCATCACCATCATCAGCATCATCAGCATCATCACCACCATCATCATCAGCATCATCATCGTCAGCAGCATCATCAGCCTCATCATCAGCAGCAGCAACAGCAGCATCCTCATCATCAGCACCATCGTCGTCGTCATCGTCATGGTCGTCATCGTCATCGTCACCATCATTATTAGCAGCAACAGCAGCAGCAGCAGCAAATCATCATCAGCAGCATCATCATCATCAGCATCATCAGCATCAGCATCGTCATCAGCACCAGAAGCAGCGGCAGCATCATCAGCATAATCATCATCAGCAGCAGCGTAATCATCACCAGCAGCATCATCACCACCATCATCATCGTCACGGTCGTCATCATCATTCACAGCAGCAACAGCAAAGCATCAGCATCAGCAAATCATCATCACCAGCAGCAGCATCATCATAATCATCATTATCATCATCGTCGTCGTCGACCCCATCATCCTCATTATCCTCATCACCCTCAGCACGGCTCTGTCAAGCCTGGAGACACGAGGTGTCACACTTGACGGCCTCACGTGCCCCCTCGATTAGTCGCCACCCAGAAACCTGGGTTGACACGGTGGCGGGACTTGCCGCAGTCAGCTGGATATGGCACCACATAGCTTACACCACACAGATTCCGCCCTACGTGTTGCGCCATATAGTTTGCACCGCATAGATCGCCCAACCTAGACCGCACCACATAGTTTGCACCACAACTTATTCATCTCCGGAGTGCGAGAGCGCACTGCTTGGGGCGACCTCTGCGTTGGTGCCCTCGGGTCGGTCCGCCGGGTCGCAACCGGCCGTGCCTGGTCGATGCCCTGCGGTTGATGCCGAGTCGTGCCATACGGTGGGGCGGTATGGCTATCCTCACGGATTCCACTCCATGTATATATATGTATATATATATATATAGATTGCACCCCGTCGACTGTGACCTCAATCCCCCAAACAGTACTTGCGTTCAGTGGTTCATACTTTTTTTTCTGAAGGACTGGGCCTGTGTGGCGGTCTGGCGGCTGTATTGTCGCCGTCGCCGCCCCGTCGCCGCCTCGTCGCCGCCCAATGACTGGGCGTGTGTGGCAGTCTGGCGGTATGTTGTCGCCGTCGCCGCCATGTCCCATCGTCGCCGCCCAAATGCACGACATAGATTCTCCTTTCTAAACAAGAGTTAGGTTCCACCACCACCACCCGGCTATATCGGTAAACGCTTTTTTGCTGCAATTTGCACATGTCTCTGCCCCATCGTCCATCCGAAATATGAACTCATTCCATCCCAGCCCAGCCGGGATCGACCCCCCCCCGCCATCCTCTGCAAAAAACTACTGTGCGCGCGCACTCGCTGATCAAAAAATATCAGTTGTCATGAACCCCTTGCGAAACAAGTGACGAAGTGCACACGCGCGCGTGGTCGCGCGCGCATGCCACAATCCTATATATATATATATATACATAACTACATACATACATACATACATAGCATACATGCATACATACATACAGACAGACAGACAGACAGACATACATACGTACATGTATACCTGCATACGTACATACAGACAGACATGCACACATACAGACATACATACATCACAAACATACATACATACATACATACGTACATATACATATATACATATGTATGAAACTTGTTGTGAAAGGAAAAATGTCGTGGTCGAAGCGATGCCGAAATCGAGTGCCCAAAAACATTTTGTTTCGCAACACTGGTGTTCAAACGGAGAATGAGGAAAACACCAACAACAACAAAACGTAAGCGCGATCTTGCGAATTCTCATGGGAATCATGGGTTGTCCAACGTGTTCAAAAAAATACTACCGAACGGGTTTCGCGCGTGCGCATGTCGGAAGCGTTCGAACGCCCATGCGCGCGTGCCGTCGGGACAACTCTTTTGCAAAACACTGGACGAAAATCACACGTGCGCGTCGTCGTACACGCATGCCGAAATCCTTCAAAAACCGTCGGCGTCGTCACGGCTTCAAAACCGAATGTCCAAAACACATTCCAAAACACATGGTTTCGCAACATCACATTTGGAAAAATGGGGAAACCCCAAAAAAAGGAAAACAAACAACAACAAAAAACGTACGCGCGCGCTCTTGCGAATCCTTAGGGAAATCCTTAAGGAAACCATGGGTTTTTCAACCATGAGTCTTTCAACATGTGCATGGAATTCTGCCAAACGGACCTCTGGCGCCGCATGCCGACATCACTCGCACGCCGTTGCGCGCGTGATGGGGGGGCACGGTCCGCGTCAAATAAAACCATCACTCTCGCGCGTCGGCCGCGCGCGCATGTCGAATTTTGCTACAAAACCTTCATCACCGACGCGAAGACGCCGTCATCGTCGTCGGCGCGATCAACACCGGCGCCTGCACTGGCCGCGCTTTCGTCGGTGTGAACATCGTCACCAGCATCGCCGCTATCATCATCGTGTCTACCGCCGTCGGCGTTGCCATGATAGCGGGCCCACCCAAGTCGCCGGCTCGAAATGAAGTGCCCGCTGGGATGCGTCCAGCGCTCAAACCCACCGCGGCCGCGTCGGTGGCGCCAAATTGGCTGACCGCTGCGCGCGCGTGCTGAGGCTGGCGCGGCCGCAGAGATGCACCAGCCAACGCCAAGCATGCATCACAATCGCCACCGCATGGGTTTGCAAACCAAGT